AAAAAGAAGAAGAAGAAGAAGAAAAGAAAAAAGTTGTGGAAGACTTAAGTTAAATGGAGTGGTATGGAGAAGTTGGCTCCTAAGCATCCAAAATGCATTATAGGATGGACAAGAAAATCAACAATTGTATGCACCAAATGTTAATAGGACCAAGCTCAAATTGGAAGACTTCTGCAAGCCTTTGCAGTATTTAGCAATCCTTTATTAATCTTGGCAATATTTGCTTACTAAAATTGTGCACGTATATCGATGCTTGTCCATTGCCAAAATACACACCGAGAGAGAACTCAAATTGGAAGACTTCTGCAAGCCTTTGCAGCATTTTGCAATCCTTTATTAATCTTGGCAATATTTGCTTACTAAGATTGTGCACGTATATGGATGCTTGCCCATTGCCAAAATACACAGAGAGAGAGAGAGAGAGAGATAGAGAGAGAGAGAGAGAGAGAGTCCTAATTATAGCATTCAAGAAATTTTCTTCGTGGTTTTCGAAAGAGTGGAATATATTTTAGTATGGTAAAGCTTAGCAGAAAAGTGTAATGGAAGAAATTTTGTTGATTCAACAATCCAACCACCCAGCGGTCCAGCCTTCATTTTTACTGCATCTATTGGCTAGTTAAATGGAAGAAATTTTTTGCAGCAGCCAACCACCCAATTAATTGTGTATTGTTGAAAAACTCGTTCCACCTTCATCTCCCAATGGCTATAAATAGAGCCTCAATTCTTTTGTTTTATACACACCCAGAGAGAAGAAAAACAGAGATTAGAGAGAGTTTTGAGAGGTTTTTTGAGTTTGTAAATTCTTTTGTAAAATTATATTCAAGTAAGAAATAGAATAGTTTTTCCTCTTATAACTCCTCTTTCATGATCGGAGAATCACAACAAAAAGGAAGATGTAGTAAATGATACAAACACCTGCAGCTTCCATCGTAAGAGCGAAGCTTTAAGCATTTTATGAAAGAAATTAGGGTCCATAGGCTTCTCCATTTCCACTACAACTCCCGGTATACGTAGAAGTGCTCGTCCTTGCAGTTGAGTCTCTGTAACTCCATTTTCAACAATCGTTTGCTCCATTAAGCCGCAGCTACATTGAATTCATAAACAATCTCAGTTCTGATCTTAGGAACTGATGAAATAAACTATGGATTTAATACTGAGTTATATAACGCACTAAAAAAGTACTGTAGAAACACATACCTCAACTGCGAGATAGATACACCGCACACAATAATTCCGTCGAAATCCACTCAACAATCTCTGTGGACATCAATATGAAATCCATTTGATTTCATCCTTTTCAGTGGGATCAACATTTGTCCAGCACATGTTAAGAAAGATATTGCCATCTAACCCCATTGACGGGTCAGTTGACCTGACATACTTTCTCAATAGTAATAATTAGGAGTTAATTGTTTTATTACCCACTGTACTTTACCCATCGTCGCATTCACTTTACAATTGTCCAATTTTAACATGCAACTCAACCTTCCGTCCTCCACGTGGAAAAAATCACAGATGACATCCATCCAGTGGCCATTTTAGTGAGACGGACCTAGTTCAGTGGCCACTGGGAAGCATCATAAAGTTCAATGGATAAGTCGTGACGTTGTGTAAAGTACAGTGACCGACAGCGCCGCCTGTTTGGATTTTATTTTTTTTCAAACTACTCAATTGTGTCGACACATCTCTCTCAATTTTTGAATCTGTTTTTCAACATATTCTTATGGCATGAATGTTGAAAGCGAAAGCACGTAGCTTTTCCATTAAACATGCTCCATAGAACGTGAGCACCTCAAAAGTGACTGGGATTTTCCATTCAAAATTATCCACGGAAGGTGCACCTCAAAAGTGAGTGGGGAATCAACTTTTTATAGTGTATTAAAATATTCTATAACGGCTCTATGGTGTGTGATTATCCTTTTTCTTTAATGTGGGACCATTGTACATTTTTCAATCAATTATATTTGGTGTACACTTTGATGTACATCATGATTTACACTTTGCCATTGAATAATTAAAAAAAAAAAAGTTTTCATCCAACCATGGTTCTATGACAAGACAAATGTCAACAATGATGTGAACCTTGAAATATACAAATGTCAAATTCCTTTTTCAATACATGTATATTCACTTTTAAAAAAATTATATTATATTGTTAATTTTATATAAATTTACATAAATAGACAGATAAAATTAAATAAAAACACATCACTCTCAATTTAGCCACTAATATTTGTTTTCATTAAATTTTTTTGGACTTTTTATATTCTTTTAAAATTTATATTTAACTAAAACTCTATTAGTCATAAAATATTTGCTTCAACTAAATTTAAAACAACATCATTAGAGCAAATACCTACAGACATAGCAATATATGAAAAAAAAATTAAAAAGTAAGGTGAAAAAAAAATAGAAAGTAAGGATTACCTTTTATACAGATTTGATGAATTTAGTATGTGATGGATGTTGATTTTAATTTTTCGTGTGAATCTACATATGTCATTAATTGACCAACTTATGAGGGCATATATCTTGACTATATGTGATGCATGAGAATCCGAATCAGATGTTGAGTTATCAGATAACACTTTAATGGCTATAAGGTATCATGAGTTAGCAGATCGACGCAATGATGGCAAGTGATCGCATAACTTTGGTAATTGAGTTATGTTTCGGTAATTTAGCCATAACTTTGACTACGGTCATCAGAATCGCGATTATGACCACAATCCGAAAAGTTTGTTTCGATGCGCACGTCATGGCCACCCAACTTTGCTCAGTGTTGCTTTTTGGAGTGATTTTTGAAATTTTTCCATTTTTGGTAAAATTCAGATTTTTGCTATAAAATCCGACTTGTGAACTTATTTTGATTATTGCGTAATATAATAAAATTTTCTAAACTTCAGAGACGTTTTTCTCTGTTTTTCGACGTTAATCTTGTGTTTTTCCCTGTGAATTCGCTGGTAGAACTAGCCTGTAAAATAATCACTATTCTACCCGATTTCAGTTGGTATCAGAGTTCAACATCTTCTTCATGAGTGATTGAGTTGTCAGATAACACGTTAATGGCTCTAAGGTATCACGAGTTGGCAGATCGGGGCAAGGATGGCATGTGATCGTGTAACTTTGGCAATTAAGTCGTGTTTCGGTAATTTGGCCATAACTTTGGTTACGGTTATCAGAATCGCGATTAGGACCACAATTTGGAAAGCTTGTTTCGGCGCGCATGTCGTGGTCATCCAACTTTGCTAGGTGTGTGCCGTTTTCATTGTCAGATTCCATTGTTTTCCCTTCCGAGTTTTAGTTATTTTTTGCTATTTTTGGTAATATTTCGATTGCATGTTAGGAGATGATTTTTAACCCGATTTGGGATAGATGTTTTGCAGAATACTTATTTTATTCCATATTTTTGTTTGGCGTAATTTTTGAAATTTTTTCATTTTTGGTAAAATTCGAATTTTTACTATAAAATCCAGCTTGTGGACTTATTTTGATCATTGCGTGATATAATAAAATTCTCTAAACTTCAGAGACGTTTTCTCTGTATTTTTTGGCGTTACTCTTGTGTTCTTCCTTGTGAATTTGCTGGTAGAATTAGCTTGCAGAATAATCACTATTCTACCCTGCGTCAATTGGTATCAGATTTCAATCTCCTTCTTAGGTGAGATTTCATCAGTTCCAATGGCTGGAGGTTATGGTTGACGTGGGCAGGTTCCGATTGAGAAAGTTCAACACCCATGATCGTAATATTCAGAATGCCACGATTGAAAATTTGCAGAGGCAAGTTGCAGAGTTGGCGGCGCGTGATTTGGAGGACCCTGAGATCTTCGAGCCCAAGTCTGATTCCACTGTTTTTTAAAATCCCTACCACCAACGTGATCTATTCCGGGAGCACCGTGGTTGGAAGCGTTATAGGGATCTCTATTTTCGCGTGGATCTGCCTGAATTTTATGGTACGTTACAAGCTAAGGAATTTATCGACTAGACAAATGAAGTGGAACGTATATTTGACTACAAGTAAGTACCTGATGGTGTGAAGGTAAAATTGGTTTCCATCAAACTCTAGGGCAGGGCGTCTGCATGGTGGGAACAGTTGAGATGTTCACGGGACAAGTAGGGCAAATCCAAGATCGCTGATTGGGAAAAGATGAAGAAAAAGATAAAGTGTCACTTTCTTCCCTTTGGTAATACTCAGACCGTATTTCAGCAACTTCATACGTTGAGGCAGGGTTTGAGATCAGCCGATGATTACACGGAGGACTTTTACCAATTGGTTGCCCGAAATGACTTATCTAAGACGGAGGAACAGATGGTGGCACGATACTTGGGAGGGTTATGCTAGCCCCTATAGGATGTCCTCAGCCTTCACTAAATATGGATAGTTTCGGAAGTATATTAACGTGCACTTGCTGTTGAAAAACAGCAGAATAGGAGGCCAATGCTTAGGAACGATCAGAACAATCGACCAGTTTGACCTCAGGATTCCTGTCCCATCCAGTAGATATCGCAAGGTAATTATAATCCTTCTATTAAGTGTTTTCGTTGTAGTGAACAAGGGCATATTGCTATTGATTGTAGGAAGTCTGCTAGTCAAAAGGGGAAAAATTGTTGACTGAGGAGGACGTGGTAGATGAGATTAAGGAGATTAGGGAGGCTGTGTATGACGATGATGACATTGATGATGTGATGTATGAAGATGGCCATGAGACTTTGGTTGTTCGTAAAAGTTTACTGACTCCCAAGGGAGATTGAGGAGATGATTGGTTGAGAACCAATATTTTCCACACGACCTGTACAGTTGCTG